ATTGCGGCTGGAGGATTTTAGGGGACGGAAGTCCTTGATGGCTGCGAGCAAATCGTGGAATTCACTTGGATGTCAATAGGGATGTCAATCGGGTTTGTCGACTTGACTCAGTAGAATTGAGCCCTATTTTGTGGTGTCGAGCCGAGCCTGAATCGGTCTGTGTGGCTCGTTTGCTTGGACTCACGAGCCTAATTTAAAAAAAAAAATTAAAAATTAAAATTTAAAGTTAGCAATACGTTGCCTTTTATAAGGCAGCGTACTGCTGTCTAAAATAGGTTTTAGGCGGCATGGTGCTACTTTTATCTATAAAAAAAATGGACCGAAAAAAATCAAGCTTGCCGGGCTCGTTAAGGCCCAAGCCTTAATTTCTTGGCCGAGCAAAGCTTAACTCCGCTTGGGCTCAAAAAAACACTTGGACCATTCTACTCAAGTCAAGCCCAAATCTCGAGTTTCGAGTCGTGAACCGTCTCGACTCGGCTAGTTGACACCTCTAGATGTCATGGCTGGATAGCGGAATGCATTTGAAGGTTGCGAGTTGGAATGCATTCTGAGATCTCGACTTGTCCGTAATTGATTGAGATTTTGCCTATGTTGCACTAAAATCAAGAAATTTTTGTACTTTCAAAGTTTTCTGAAGACTATAAATAGAGGCTATTTAGGTAAAAAGAATGGACCGTATAAATTAAAACTTCGTAGACATCACAATAAAAGGATTATACTACTTCAATATAATGGACACCATAATGGTGTCCATAATGCCCAAGTGGCACCCCCTACTGACGCCCCCTCCAATAGGGGGCACCTGGGCATTATGTACACCATTATAGTGTTCATTATGTACCCAAGCATCACCCAAAATAAAAGGAAACAAATTCATCTTATGTGAATAAATTAAAAAGAGGTCCCAATAAATTATTAAAATCAAGACTAGGAAATTTTTGAGTTTCTTGGAGTTGAAAATAAAGATTGAAGATATTCGCTTCATCTTCTTGCTTCTGAAATAAATAGGTAATGTCTATGTCAACTTTCTTGTATCGATTTTTTCGCTATATTTTTTTGGTTAAATTATTTATTAGGATGATCGATGTAGGTAATTGGCTTCTATTGATGTTTTAATTTATTATTTAAAGCTTTTCTTTATTGAATTGTGTATAATTAGCATGATTGATTTATTTTACATTTGTTAACAAAATTTGAATTGCATAATATTTGTTATATTTTAAATCGAGACTTGTTAGAACATTCAATATTACTTTTAATTAATTTATTGTTAAATTGAGATATATTTATTTATTCATTCGATTGTCATAATTCTAATGCGTCATTTAGGCAAAACTATTAATAGAGAGAGGAAAGTTTAATAATTAGGGATACATTAACTAGCTAGTACTCGATAGACAAGTGCTAATATTTTATCTCGAATTTAATTATCGGCAACACAATAATTGAACCAAAATATTAACTAAACACGAGTAAGATTAATTATTGAAATTGGGATTCCTAACTATTTTCTTAATTGATTCTACCTCGTTATCCATTTATTATGATATTATTGATATTAAAAACTGAAAAATGCATAATTACGCATATGATTTGTATAGACACACATATTCATGTAATAATTGATGCTCGATCGAAACACATTGTCATGCATTATAAATTTTAGAACATTGACTGTGATGATAGATTTACTCAAATGCGAACAAGTGAGCACCATATGAGATTTTAAAGTCAAGTTGGATGGAAACGGTCCACAGGGACACCAATTGAAATTGAATTGTAACCCTAAGGATTTAAACATCAATGGGGACCTTAAACATCCAAAAGTAGAGAATGGAGGACCAAATTGCTACAAACATTATATGGTGAGGAGTACTTCTGCACTTTTCTCTACACATAATAATAACACTGAAGCGAATCACAAAAAAGAATGAGTAACGCAATTTGGTATCAGTGGTGTCAAACATTGTAACTAGTTCCATTACTTACAATTTTTAACTAATTATAGGTAGTGTACTCGAATGTCATATAGAGTGGTGCTTAGCACCACCGAAGATATAGATAGTATTATTCAAAAAGAATTTATATAAATAACCAACAAATTATTGAGAATCAAACAATCTAACGAATTGTTACGAGCTGTCACTAGAAGAGCGCCTTCATTTCTATATAAATATAAAATAGTGAAGGTAAAGATTTGTCTTTCAAGTCTCGCACTGCTTTCTACCACACTATTTTAAATGAAGTTTTACCATAACATTCCTCTAATTTGGAACCGATAGGGAATTGATTCAATCATGGAATCATGAATAGTCATTGACTGAGTTGTACATAGACATCGCATAATCTATACTTCTTGGCAAACTGGATGTTACTATTCTTTCCATCTGTCAATGTTTTAAGGTCTATCATGAGAGATTGATCCTCTTATACAACAAAAACTGATTGGGGCTACCAACCAATGATTTATAAAGTTGAAACCAAAAGATTCTCAAAGAAAATAGATGGTCACACTGAAAATGGGTCCTGCATGCTATATTGATATCTTAAATGGGTCCTGCATGCTATATTGATATCTTAAATGGGTCCTGCATGCTATATTGATATCTTAAATGGGTCCTGCATGCTATATTGATATCTTAAATGGGTCCTGCATGCTATATTGATATCTTAAATGGGTCCTGCATGCTATATTGATATCTTAAATGGGTCCTGCATGCTATATTGATATCTTAAATGGGTCCTGCATGCTATATTGATATCTTCTGTCCTAATTATTAATTGAATTCTGCCATTTAGTGAGAGAAATAGATTCAAACAAGAATGCCCATGTGATCTATGTGGGAGGTTCATGAACAATTTTGGGACCACTTCCATGTGCCACTTGTAGTGGATCTTTTCTTACCGTTGAGCTCCTTGTAAATTTCTTATGGCTAAAAATCCATAATTGGTACTTCAAATTTTAAGCCATTCTTGAAAGTAAACAAGCTCAAAATTTTAATTTTGTGGCCATATTTGTTCTTTCATGTTCTCAACAATTCTTGAAAGAGATATTTCAAGAATTCATTGAATTGTTCTGTCTAATAATTTTAAGAAGTTAGTGAGATGGAGTAGCGAAAAGGGCAAAGCTTTTCCACCCAGTCATTTATGAGTAAGGAAATAATTACCATGTAAGCTACACAATATGTTTTTTGATCAATAGTTACATAAACGTATGTTACAGTTGTTAAGGGATAAAATTCCACGTCGAATAAAGATGAAAATATAGACTAACGTATAAGGAAGTTGATTACTTCTCTTAATAAAATTGATAGTTTAAAATGGAACCCTAAATTTTAATATGGTATCAAAGCTCATTAAATCTAAATGTTCTGAGGGGCATGCTGAGATAAAATTTCATATCGAATAAAAATGAAAATATAGACTAACCAATAAAGGAATGAGTCACTCCTCTTAATAAGATTAACCGTTTAAAATGGAACAGTTTGACTTTATTGATTGAGATTGAATTTTTTACTAGATTTATTATGCAGATTGATAGTGCAAGTATAAAAATGTCTATCACTACTTCATAACACGCTCCATTATGTACAAATTATTATTATAATAATAATAATTATTATTATTTTAAGAAAGATCCAAAGCTTGAACAATTTTAATCAATGGCAAAGAGAAGTAGAAATTAAGACGCATGTTCTAAAAAGCGAGCCTAGGCGCGACGCACAACAAAAACGCCACACAAGGGCGTAGATGCCTAATTTAGCGGTCAACGCTCTATTTCGCACCTTAGCGCGCTTAACTGCGCAAAGGCACTTTTTTTTTATTACGCTTCTTTTAAACTAAAAATTAAAGGGCCAATTTCTTTCATTTGTTCAGTGCCCTAGGAAGCTTGCAATAAGTGCATGTGAGAACAATGATGAAAATTACAATCCGGGTATGTTAACGTATTGTTCTCTTTTATATCAATAATTTATTATAATTTATATATGATTATATAAATATTAAATAACATGTTTTTTACTTTCGTTTATTAGTGAGTTGGCGGGATTTTTATGGAAATGAAATACTCAATTTGAAGATCATGGTAAAAAGGATACTTGGTTTGACTACTAGTTCATCCGGTTGTGAAAGAAATTGGAGTTCTTTTGAAGGGGTAAGTATTAATTAGTTTGTTACATTTTACTTACTAATGAGCAATGAATAATTACTTGAATATGATTTATTCCATTAAATATACTTTTCTTTTTCTTCATCTTTTTTTTTTCTTTGAAGATACACTCGAAGAAACGGAATAGACTTGACACTACCAGGATGAACAATCTTGTTTATGTCCAATTTAATGTGAGGTTGTCAAACAAGAAGAAGAAGAAGGGTAAAATAGAGACTCTATTAGCAAGTGATGCAACTAATGTACAATCTTGGATTGTAGAGGGTTGTGATGATGATAAGGAGTATGATGGGGTGGAAGATGAAATCTCACAACCTTCATCAAGAGACAGAAATGCTCAGAATGATAAAAGGGAGCCTGACGAGGAGGATTTTTTATCAGACGATACGGAGGATAAATTAAATGAAGATGATAGTATTGAATTGAAGTCTGATAAAGAGTTGGATATGATTTAAGTTCCTATGCTATTTGTTTAAATTTGGAACTTATCTTTTTGTTGAAAATTTTGAAAAAAAAATGTAAAAAGTCTCTATAAATTTATTTTGGATGTTTAGTATGTATTATTTATAATTATTAAATAAATTTTTTTGATTAAAAATTTAAAATAATATTAAAATAAGAAAACGTTTTTTAACGCTTTTTTACGCGTTTGCCTTGCTTAATCTCGTCTAGCCCTTAACTTGAGGTCAACGACTAGCCACACTTTTCACTATTTAGAACACTGATCAAGACTGACAAAGAAAGGGGGTTCATGCAATGTTGTCATCTGACCCGAAATCAATCTTTGTATCTCATGCAGTAACAAATAAAAACAAAAAGTCGAAGAAATAAATGCACAAAAAAGCTGCTTCCAACAAAACAGTAAGCAATAACTCAATCCAAAAATTCATACAAACAAGTGGCATCCTGGATCAAGAATGACACAATCTAACTGGTTTTAGTGACAAAAATATTGTAGAAAACAGGAAGACTTAATTCTCTAGCATATTCCCATAATATGAACCATAATTCACGTAAGCTACTCGAGTACTCGACTCAAATCGACTCGACTGTATTATACTGAAACATCATATTATAGCCAAAATATAAGGTATTGTCCGATACTGTGTACCAAAAGTGTCTTGGTTTACATGAAATATCACCCATGACACACGCATTTGTAGTGGTATGGGCTGTTCATTGGGTCGTTCCCTTCGACAGGAACTTGCTCGGCTCTGCACTTGTACTTGCACCCTTTGCATTCATTATACGTGCACGTTGGTGCCACCGATCCAATCATTAATCTTCTTGAATGCAAATCCTACATATTTAACTATATTCGATAAATTAACTTGATCCAGAGGACATTTCAATGTTTATGCATGATTTTGTCTCACCTTCAAGTTCAATTCTCCAGATGATGAAACATGGTCGGCTCTCTGATTATAAGGAAATGTCATTTGAATTCTGGACCCTTTTGCACCTAAAAAATGGTATGAATATTACAAGTAGTTCAGTCCCAAGTACAAAAATATTGTTCAAATTATAGCATTACTAAACTAAATTCCGGATGGAATTACATGCAGTAAGAGTACAGTCACTTCAAAATCTTATTCGTACAATCTTAGCATGTTTGGTTTGCTCGATTGTTAGAGGAGACAACTAACAAATTTCGTTACATGCTTCTTTTCTTTAATCCTATACAATGCAACCGTCGAGCAAGCGTATCAAATATGCTCTTTGAGTCCTGTTTGGAGGAGCTTATCCAAATTTTTTTTCTTTCATTAACTTCACAAGTATGTTTTTGAAGAAGTACACTAGAAAAGAGTGGTTGCACAGGCTATATAACAAGCTAAAGAAAATCAAGAATTTAAATTATAAACAGTTAGAAATTTTAGATTTAGATACTAAACAAATATTGCAGCACAAGACAAGTGCAGAAAATTGACTATTATCTTCTTAGGATAGAAGCAACTCGAAATTTATTTATTGGGAATAGGACTTATTTTTTGTTATATGAGGGAAAAGAAGAAAGGAAATGCAGAAACTATTAAGGAATATATTGTACAAATCGTGAAAAATAGATGAAACTAAAGCCAAGAAAAACATGATACAAATTACAGACACGAAGCAAATAGAGAACTGAAGATGACCTACAAATAATGCTGCAGGGTGCTTAATTTTAAATATTCTTAGTATGAATGGAATGAAATGCGAAGAAAGGTACCTTGGATAAGGTGTGCTGCAGAAAACAAGTAGAGGAGGAAGAGATAATATTTGAGATTATTGGCCATTATCTATAAGTTTTTGTTGGAGAAGAATATGGTGGAAGGATAGGGGATGATATATAGAGAGGCAGAGAGTGGAAGAACGAGGACCATGAGAAGATAGACTGGCTACATATGCAGCAAACAAAAGAGGTCCCCAACTGACAAACTTCAAATTTTTTGCATGCCAACTCAAAATTTATTACATTAAAGTATAAAAAATTCCAACTTTTTTTTCTATCATTTACTTTTATTCCCTATCATTGTCATGGTCTGTAATTTGTTTTGGCTCATGTTTATCAATTATTTATAAACATTTAAACCTCTTTTATTATGAATAAGGTTGCATTCTTAATCTAGGTGATGCTAAATGATAGAGTAAATGAAATATGAAATTAACTTATTTAATTTAACCTATCATTTAATGCTACATTAACACTAGACTGGGGTTGTAATTCCAGTAGAATTAATCATGGATTATAAGACTATTGATTACTAAATTACAATTATTTAAAATTAATATGGACTAATTTCTGCATTACTTATGATAAAAAATTCAATACACTGAAGGACAACGTTTATTTATATGAATATCATCTTCAATACATTCTTTCATATACATAAATCAATTATATAAAGGAGTAACACGTAGAAATTTTTCATAATTGGTTAGCGATAAAACGCGATTTTTTTTTTTTTTTTATCATCTTAAACTATTTCATCTAAATCCGACCACGTAGAATGGGTGTGGATTTTGTGTTCTAGCACTCAAAAATCTCTGAGCCACAAGAAATTTTATTGAATATTTATCAGAACTCGAATAATTTCAAATTAACATTAGAAATCACTTTAGTTTTGCACAAATAAAGACAAGTGAATTTGCCAGAAGACAATGAAAATGAAATTTCGAACAATGTCGATGGAGAAATTATTGAGATGTTAATAATGAAATATTTTTCTAATAACAACTTGAGAGACCTAAAAATATTATCACGGCCCAAAATAGAAAGAAAAGATGTCTCGTATATATAATTTAAAGAGTAAATAATTTTCTGATTATTAGATGGGCAAATTTGGCCCACTACCGTCTAAATATCACAAATTGGAATAATACCCCTAAAACTAATTAAAATTCTTGTACCACCGTAATTAATATGCTAAAAATCCCCAGAAGCAGTGGAGAAGTTGAAAATGTATTCCAGAAATTCAATACCAATTGAGATCACAAAATCTCATTATCAGAAGTCTGAAATTTTGATGAAGCACATAATGTCAGAGTTAGACACCGACAAGAGGGAAGAAGAAGCATTAGCGCTTTTAATTATTTTCTGAGTTACATTTTCATTCATACAGGTTTTTTTCTTGAGTTTTTTATTTTTTCTGAAATTTTTATGCTTATATTTATGTGTTTGTATATGTATAGACTTTATCCATTTGCTAAGAAGGATTGGTATGATATCAAAGCATCGTCGATTTTCTACTCATACTAGGGGGGATATTTTTCTCTTTAAATTATATTCGTTTTGCTGGAGAAATGATATTTAACACTTGTTGATGCAAATTGATTGATGAATTGGTTTATCCATTGAAACCTATGTACATCTAGAAAGTTGTAATTTTTCCCCTCAACAAGCGATCTAGTTGTCTGCTGTCCAGAGGGTCTAACGAATGTTTTTTTTTTTTTTTTAAAGGTTTCATCTGTTGTATTTTCCATCAAAAGTTACTGGTACACTGTTTCATTTGGATATTGTTTCCTCTCCTACTATTTTTTTGTTCCTCCTAAATAATTAAGGATCCTGAAACTATGGATTTGGCATCAAGATGTTAGTTTATTGCTTAGCTAAGATTCTTCTAGTTTCTAGTTATCAAACTTTGAGTTCATTGCACAAAAGAAGTTATGATGTCACTTTCTCAAGGTGTTATGGCATTTGAGTTTTGTGTATTTAGAGATTCGTTACACAGTATAAATTAGTAAGATGTGGCTTGTCGTCTAACCGACTTAAAATGTTTGCAATAAATGGAGAAAAAGGAGGGAAGGTGATTGTGTCACTTTTTTTTGTCACTTTATTGAATCAGTGTTTTGCCAAATTTGAAACATAATATTCAAATTCAGCTAAGGATGAATTATGAATTTATATAAAATGATATATTTTAAAGTTTTGATTGATGCTTTGTTGCCTTTTGAGGGTTTGTCCCCCCTTTTTTGAATTTACATTAGTTTTATGAGTGTTTATCACTTTTTGGAATAGTGTGTCACTTTCATAGTGATGAATGTTTATGAAAATTTGACACTTACATCTTAGTTTAGTCATCAATTTTTGTTAGTTGCGAGCTTATTGGAAACATGGTTGTATTTAAATTTTTGGATTATGATTATATTGTTCAAGTTGTTAATTCAAAAGTTTTTATTTTGTTCATCAGTTGTGAACTTATTGGATAATTTGGCTATATTGAAAATCGTGGGTCATGATTTGTCACTTTTTTTCGGTTACTTTTTTGAATTTGTGTCACTTTTTTTTTTTTTCAAATTTCGTTACTTTTTGAGTGTTTGTCACTTTTTTTAATATGTGTAATTTTTTTAATTTGTGTCTTTTTTTTTGAATTCGCCACTTTTTTAAAACCTTTGTCACTTTTTTGAATTCTTGTCATTTTTTTTTTTTTGAATTTTTATCACTTTTTTTAAGTGAAAATGTTGTAATGTGAGATGGTGACCGGTGGAAAATTATATGAAATGTTAGGCGAACGAAATGGATGGTGTTATTTTGGTGTTTGTCAATTTTTTTTTATTTTTTATTATTTTTATTTTTTAGTTTGTGTCACTACTTTTAAATTTTGTAGCTTTTTTTTTTTTTGAGTTTGTCACTTTTTTTAAATTGTGTTAAAAAAATTTTTTTTGACAACTTTTATAAAAAAAAAAGGGGACATTATGTCACTTTTAAATTTACATGGTACTTTTTACTTCCAAAAAACATTTTTTTTTATTTTGTCATTTTTTTGAGTTTGTCATCTTTTATGTTTTTTGTCAGTTTTTTAAATATTCATCACCTTCTTATCTTATTAAAAATGTGACATGATATGTTATATTTTCCTAACATAATTAGCATGTGGATTATCCTGGACATGCTGATTATGTTAAGAACGTGATTACTAGTGTTGCATAAATGGATGGTGTTATTTTGATGTTTGTCACTTTTTTTTAGTTTGTGTAAACTTTTTTTTTTTTTTTTTTTATTGTTAGTTGCCCTTATTAGATTCTCTTCTAATTACAGACGGGCCTGCCAATATAAAATCTCAATGAAGAACCTCAAAATATCAAGAAAATAAAGTAGCGTTCATTGATGTATACTATAGAAATGGACCATCTTATGTTTCCTTGATCATGGGTATATATTTTGTTGAAAAATCCGTGGTTTAGGCATTTGTTTTAATTAATAAAATTGATTTCCTTAATTTATTTACTTATTTTTTAATGTCGAAATAGTGGATTGGAGTAAATGTCCTCGGTAAAGCTAGATGTGGCAATGGACCGAGCCGTAAACACACGAGCTTAGCTCGAGCTCGGCTCATGCTCAAGGGGCGAGCTCGTGGGTCGAGCCGAGCCCACAGCTCAATTTTTTTATTTTTATTTTTAATTTGTAGGAGCGGCAGAAGAACAAGACCCACATATTTGGTTCCATTCCTCTACAATTCAAAAGGACAACACATGAAGAGAATGACAAAAAAATGTCCACGTCTCAATTTGTATCTTGTAGCTTGAGTTTTTGGCATTGTTGGCCACTAAACTTCTTGTAATAAGATTATGAGTTGGTGGCATTGTTGGCCACATTTGTTAGGGGTTGATTAAGATCGAAATGTTCTACATTATGTAAATCAAATTAGGAGTTTTAGACCACGACGATCCAGAAGAACGACTTGCGATCCTAAAATTCAGGCCTTGTTTTGATGCCTTGGTTTGGTTGTTGAATACTTGGGTCGGGTGGCATTTCTTCCTCTATCGACGATTTGTCGACTTCAAATATTAATAATAAAACCTAAAAAGTCAGCTTCTATTACTTTATTGAATGTAGTTTACCATAATGACATGTTTGGTGACGCTTAACTGGTTTCTATAATTATTGTTATAAAATAGATGACATCTTTGCTGATCGACAACAAAACAAACAAAACGACATATGATAGTGTAATGAATGCATGAGTGACAATCATTTCGAAATGACTTATCGTTTTACCTGTCTCAGTGCTATGACTTGTCCAGCATTTTAGCTCTTATTTGTTTAGAATAATTTTCAATAAATTTACTGAGAATTTCATGTTTTATGCACACACGTGTGCCTGAATCAATTCTGACTATCATAATTCCTTTCTATGCGGATTTGATGTTCCATTTTAAAATATTAATCTTATCAAGAAGAAGAGCCAAAACTCTATTAGATTGATCTATATTTTTCATCATTATTCGATGTAAGATTTTACTCGCTAAGATGATGTTGGCTCGTTTAAGTAGATAAATTTTGAAATTTGTATGTTCATTTTTGTTTTAATCTTAATTAGATCAAATTGCTCATTTGAATTTAATGAACTCTGGTACCATATTAAAAGGGCGTTTGTTTCTCATTTTTGTAAAAATAAGAATGAAAAATATAGCCGTTATGAGCCCCACATAAGAGATAGAAATTCAAATTTGGTGGTTTGATGTGATGAATAACGATTATATTTTTCATTTTAATGAGGAAAGAATGAGAAACAAATAAGGACTAAAATTTGAAATTTTATCTTAAAAGATCAATTTTATGAACATGAATATTCCAAACCATTATAAATTGGTATAATTATTCTTCTTTATTTGATGTGGCAAATTATCCCTTAACACATCATTTACATAATTTCCTCGAGTGCACAACCCCACACACATATTTTGTGTACTGTATGACTGAACTATAAACGGTTAGTTCTAGCCTTAAACGTGCAACCCAACAAGTCTATATATTAAATCCTAATTTGGAATCAGTTTGGTCATGTTCTCAAAACATTTGGATCAAACCACCCGTCGACCACCTTCACATGTGATCATAAAGATGGGCAGATAGCATCTCTTCGAGGCAAAATTAAGAGAGAGAGGTTTGAGAACCATACATAAGCTTTTCGAATGTAGATAAAAATCCAGTACTTTCAGAAATTCTTCTTGGAGAGTTTTTGTTCAACTTTGTATACAAGTTTACAGGGATAATAAACAACAGGGAATTCGTTGCACAATCTGGTTATCACACAGTGTTCGATGTGTCAGCAAGGGATCGTAATATGCACCCCAAACCAGCTCTCTCAGTCAGCTTCTCATGAATTCGCAGGCATTGGTCACATGTGGGTCGATCTCCTGTAGACAAGCCTCTATACAAATACCTATCAATCATGTAGCAGGCTTACATTAAAAATTGGCCAAAGAAAATGAGAACAACTAAAACTTTTACCAGAAATGGAGGACTTTGAGGAAGAAACGTTGAAGACACATCATACAGCATATCGAAGTTTATCTTGAACGCAAAAAAAATAATAATAATAATAATAAATCAATTAATAAAAACTAAAAAATAAAAAAAATCCGTTATTTCCAAAATCGGGTATTTACACAGGTTCTGCCTGCAACTCTATGCTTTAGAAGCATTGGCAATGAAATTAGGTGTAATCATGAGTCCTAAGAAGCTTAACATGTTAGAAAGGTATAGTAAATAAATATTCTCATTTTATGCCTCATATAGTTGAGTTTTACTGATAATCATTGCATCTCTCTATTTGAACTATAGTTCCTGAGGAGCCTTCCTTTTCTTCTAAAAGAAAGGGGAATCTCGATCTCTTACAGGACTAGGAGGGCCTCCAAATGAAAATCCTACAGGTGCAACGAATTCCTTGTGTCCCTGGTTATACAGAGAGATAAAATAGATGCCCACAATAATCCTCATAAAAGTCCCTGATGATGTTCCCCGCATATGTGATCCTATACTTGGTCAATCACCAGTGAATCTTGCGTGTTGGCTAGTAGATTTCAAAATTCATCAACTTTACAAATCAGTCCAACGAATAACCATGTTTCACAACAGACAGTAAAACAAATAATCAGGACACTTTCAGATTAGAAGTTCCAAGGGAGACAAGGAGAGCATTTCACAGATAGATAAGAGTCTGAAAGAAGCATAATACGAGAGAGCAAGAGGGGCATTTATGGTTGGGAATGCGTCCAACAAATTCATGTCAGAACAATGAGGCCAGTGCCATATAGGCCATAATAACAAAAGGTTAAGTGCTTTGGGAGTACATCTGAGGGAAATCAGAGGTTAAATTTGAGGGCAGGGGTAATATAGATAGAGTGAGGTTTGTATCGAATTTGATGTCTTTATGGGGTGGCATAAAA